CCTCTAGAAAAATGAATGAAAATAATTTAGGAGATTTTGAATCCTTTATACCATTAAATCAATATTACATGTATTTTGGTTCAGAGCTCAGAGCAGCCTCCTTATGTGATCACAAAGTTTGAATTTAAATAAATCATTGACATTGGAAATGCAGAAAACACTGGCACCAATTATTTCAACTTTGGTGGAGTCTGAAGAGCATGCAAGACAGTCCCAGACAATGACAGTTTTCCTATTTTTCTTTGAATTAGATTACAAAGCATTTCATTCTGCAAGATATAAAGAATATGGCAAATACTTAAGTAAGGTGATAGGTCACCTGGTGATATATAATAGGAAAGAATGCAGAATGCATACTGTGAGGAATGTAAGCTAGGGCTAAAATCACTTTAGACAGTTTAATCTGACTGTGATTTGAACCTGAACATTTTCTGATTCACCTGCTTAACTTTCTTTTCTGTTACAACTGGGAGAAGAGAGAAGTGTAAGAGTTAATCTGATTTGTATGTCCTTTTCTGTTTACAGCGTGGACATTATGAAATATGTAAGATTTTTAACACTGGTTTTCTCATACATTTTATTTCTGCATTTGCTTAGTTGGACTTTTTGTTTTCTGATTTGTAGGTCTTTGAAGAAGAGCATCACATCTTGTACCTGGACCATGGTGGAGTTATTGTGGCCATCAAAGATACCTCTATCCCACTGAAAATACTCAAGTAATCCTACAGTCAATTAGAGCAAGCTATTGTGTATTCAATACATGAGACAAAGTTCAGATTTTAAGATGAACATTTCAGTGTAATCATGTATGAGATGCAAGTGTAATCAGCTTAATTTAACTTGAATTAATTTGACAAAATTCAGAAAGATGTTTTCTTAAAGATTACTTCTTGGTGGTATTGGTACCATGACATAATGAATTAATCATAACAAGATTTTCTTACATCATTATAGATGTAAGATATATTTTTGCTTAAAAGGCCATCCTGGAACTCTACAGACCATGTTTATCATGGTCATTATCTGCTACTGATTTGCACCTGCAGCATATGGCAGTAATGTTCTCCCTATGATGCCTTAGGTCAGAATACTTGTTTCATACTGTGATAAAGCTCTGTCCTATTCAGCCACAGTAATGAGGACACTGGAGAATAGACCTGGATTGCTCTGGCAAGAACAATGCAACGTAGTCTTTTGGAGCCAATGGGAAAAGAATTTCTCTGTGCATAAAAGTTGTATAGTACTGTATGCAAGAAGCCCAGTTCTTCTGACAAATTCCTACACTAATTAATTGTACTGCACATTCTGTGTAGATCCTGTCATACGATGCGTCTACAGAAAATGGCATTCTCTTGTTTGACAGGAAAGTTTGGTTGCAAATAATTCTAAACTACACGATAGTGAAGCAAATCATGGTAACTTTGTGTAATGGCATATAAAGTTATTATCTTTGCAGTACAAAAAAAAAAAAAAAAAAGAGGAAGGAAGAGAGAATGATAGAATGGTTTGGGTTGGAAGGGACCTTAAATATCATCTAGTTCCAACCTCTTTGCTGAGGTCAGGGACACCTCCCCCTAGGTTAGGAAATAGAAGGTGCAAGTGATCAGAAGATTGATCATAACAAGGCTCATTTTTGATAATGCTGCTTATTCTAATAGGATCTTGGCTATATGCTTCATTAGCTAGACTGAAAGCCATCATTACCATAGTATAAAAAAGATCTGAAAAGTATGCAAGACAAAAGAATTCTAGTCATAATTTTTAGGTACACAGAGTATTTGAATGCTGAATTTTGAACTTTGCTGAATATCTATTGAAAAATTTTATGAGGATTATCAGAGCTGTAAGGGGCCATTCGTCTTGGTGCCTGCAGTTTTTAGCACTTGTATTTTAGCACTTCAGCTGTTCTGCATACTTAACGTTTTACTGACCTCTGCTTAACAGGTCTCCAGCTCAGGGACTTCTAGAGAGAATGAAGTGTAAATTAACTGACTCTTGAACCTACAAAGTAGCAGGATTGTTTGTTGACAGACATCATTTTTTATTTGGCCGAGAATTACCATTGTTGTCACAAATTTATTATACTCTTTCTAATAAAGATGGGAGACCCTGGAACATTAATGAGATACACCACTCATGCATACGGTGTTTTGGTGATTGTAAATCCTGGGTTTAGTGGTTATGGGATTTTTTTTTTACTTTTTCAATGAATTCTGATTTATGTAATACTTGCAAATGAAACCATTTCTGTTTTTTAACAGGTTCAGCATAGATGAAGGCCAGACTTGGAGTACACATAATTTTACAAGCACTTCAGTCTTCGTAGATGGATTACTTAGCGAACCTGGAGATGAGACACTGGTCATGACGTAAGTTCCCATCTACACTTCTTTTTTTAGGTTTCTCTGCTTATGCACTTGAGCATATTTTTAACTGTGGATGTTTCAAATAGTACTTGAGTCACTGATGTTTTTGTCTTGCTGTCACACAAGCCCTTACACTGATCATGCCCAAACAGCCCCAGTGTGCAGCCTGCCTTTGATTTGCATTATACCCTAACACAATATTTTAGATTGTAGAGATAAAGAGTTCTGTTTGTATGAAATTTCACATAGTTGTGGTCAGAGTGTGGAGTAATAGGACTGCAGAGTAAATCTGAGAAACTTACATAAAAATAACAGTATCCTGCATTTTTTTCTGATTTTTACACATCAAAAACATTAAACATTTATCCTTTCTTCTTGTGCAAATTGTCTTCGCAGTGTAAACAAGTACATAGTTGTCCAAGTAAGTATGATGCCTTATGTGGCCAAACACTGTGCTAACAAATACGTACTTCAGTTCTGTGCGGTGACTGAGGAAGATAATGTGATTTAGTAAAAATAAGCCAATTCTGCAGCTCAGACTTGCATTTATCTGCCTTTTTTTTCCCAAAGGGCTAGGGACAGCTGGATCTGAGCTGCAGGTTTTGCTCTGTCTCAGGATAAATGCTAACTTTTTAAGAGTGTTTGAAAGTAAAAAATAGCTATCCAGTGCTGTGCGTGCTGACTGCAATAGCAAAGGGGAGTACAAGAAGAGAATGTGCTCCTGCATATAGGGATGTGCAGGATGATGAGTGTTCTCCTGTCACAGCAGTTTGTCTGATGCTTTGTATTGGAGCTGAATATGTTCATGACAAGCTTTTTCTTCTAGGAATTAGAAATATAGCTGTCTTTAATGTGTGCCAGTAGTATTTTCCTTGGGGGAAAAAAACTAAAAATCAACCTAGCCCATAGTTTTTAAAGGATGTGCAGCAAAACAGAAATGCCAGCATACTTAAATGTATTGCATCTTCCTTTTCTCTCAAGCATAGGTTTTTATGGTATAATATATATCACACAGAGGTACTTATGACTCTGAATAGAGGATTTCCATTACCTTCAGTGGAAGTATAGGGATCAAAAGCTTATCCTACTCTGTACTTACTGGCAGATAGAGCACTGTGTGATGAGTTTGTGCTCTCATTTTTTGCTTTTATTTGTTGAAAAACAGTGATTTTGCAAAAAAAATGTATTTAATTATCTGAATAAATAGCCAAAGACCTCGTGAAAAATACGTCTTTTCGGAATCATATGTATGAAATATATCCCACTGTAGCTAGATTTGATACAAGATCACAGGCTCACTAATAACCATCATACGACTTGTATGTTTCTAAGGCAGGAGTCTGACTCCAGCATCTCTTTACAAGATTCTACTTTGCAACTAGTTCTACTGAACACAGAGGATGTCAGTGACTTCCCATTACAGACAGGCACTGAAAATACTTGTTGTCTTCTTAACTGTCTCCAAACATAATGGGAAAAATAAACCTGCAGTATGTGTTTCCCCACTGCTGTTATATGAGCTTCCTTGCCTTTCCTATCACCTTTGCTAAAGTTTTACCTTCAGGGTGTCTGCCCAGTGGAGTTTCACCTGGCTGTGTATCAAGACTTTTTGTTGTTCTCTCTGGCTTAGATAATTTTCTCCTAAAACTTCACAGTTGGATTTAGATGCTGGGCATGACTCTATGTAGCACAGTTTTCTGCTCTTGAGAAATCCTGTCCTCTGATTCATACTCCCTGAGGAAAATAATCAACTCTGACATCTTTTCCATTAGAAGTGATACCGTCTTTTCCACTTTGTTAGATAAGTGTTTTTACTTCTGGCAAATGATGGTAAGATGTACTTTTGTATGGTAATGGAAATAAATTAATACAGCATCTTTAACCCTGAATCCAGTCCCCAGATCCATTTTTAAGAACCTAACTTGACATTTTTTACTTGTGCAGGATTTTCATTTTCATTTTCTCCCTTTGGTGGTGAGTTTGTTTGACTTTGAATAAAGAGTCCAGTGTAAAATCTGCATAAATTAGCAGAGATAAGATAATTCTGAAGTGAGAAGATAACAACTAGAAGACTGTACAGCAGTACTGGAAGAGACTTTTGCATTTAAAACCTCTAGAATAAACTCACAAAGGAATCAAATATTTTACTTATATTGAAATAACCTCTGTCTGCAGGGTAATATCCCAGTTCCACTGAAATTGGGCTAGGGATTTCCTTCTATATTTCTTATTTGAATCAGTGTTAAAAATGATAACAAAAATAGAAAGATTATCTGGGGAGGATATTAAGGAATACAATAATGATGTGTAAAAGAGAGACCTGACATTCTCCACGATGGTGACTGGGACATTACCTGCCTTGAAAAGGACTTTTGTTTGAATTCTCTTCTGTCCTATCTTATCCAAAACTAAGTTGTCTGGGAAGCTTTACTGAAGGAAGGAACAGAGGAATGTGAATGTGGTTGCCTCAAATCTTCAGAAAGTTTTGTATATCCTTCAAAACAGAGCAAAAGCAAATGCAAACTTGTCATTTTTTTTTTTAGAAAACTGAATTGTCATCTGCCAGTCGACATTCATCACAATCATTCATCCAAATCCCTCACAGCATTCAAAATATGTGCACTCAAATGCCAAGGAAAACATATTTTATTCCATTGTACTGTGCAGTAGACCTACTTAAGGGTGTTAGAAGTTGAAAACAGTAAACTATCAGGAAATTTTAGGGAAACCTTTCTCTGTAAAAATTACATTCTAAATAGACCTACTTAATATATTTAGGAGTTTTAAGCAATAAAGAATACATACATTTAGGAATTGAGTAAAATTATTTTCTAAATGAAGAACTCAAATCCACCATTCATTGCTAAGTAAGATTTGATAAGAAAGTTTCTTAACTAATAGATGTATATTAAATTCATCAAAATAGTGCTTGTTCTAATAGGCTTTATTTTGTTCTAAATTATTTAAGAGCAAAATATACTGAAATGCAATGCTATACTTTACAATATATTATATTTGGGAAAAAAGCCTACTTAATAACACTGGATTGAGTAATGGCTCAACTTAGTGGAAAAAAGAATAATTTTATGTGTTTGAAATATTGATGTTCCTCTTCAAAGGAAGTAGGTTCGTATAATAAAAAAAATAAAACAGTTCATATAATGAAATTTTCAAATGTGTTAAAATGACTTCTAATCACAGTTTGGTTTCTGGGACTATTTATACTGAGACTGCAGAGTAAATCCAGCAGGGACAATAACCGTGGTACTTCAGACCATGATCCCTTTTATTAAGAGGTTACATCAAATGACTTCTTTTCTTTGTGTTAGGTAGAATCAAATCTTTCCTTACAGGTAGTTGTGTATGTATATAATATATAATTCTTGGAGGGATTTTTTCCTTAAGGTCTTGTGTAGAGTAGCAATTTAAGATGCTACTGGGAACTTACTGATATCTCTTAACTTCAGTACTTCTTGTGCCTTGTGCTATTAAAGTCAACTGTTGCATTCCTGTTGACTTCCTAAATGATAATAGAAGAAAGAAAATAGGTTAAACTTAATCAAAACAAGGTGAATACTATTTAACAGGGCTTAGATATTAGGCAAAACTATCTGGATTTTTGCAGCTGTCAAGTCTGCCTAGATATGTCGACACTGACATGAACAGTCAAAATTACATGTAGTTTATGGACTTTATTGTTGTGCCATATGTGGCTACACATTGCTTTTCTTGTTGTCTTTGAGCATCTTTCTAGGTGGGGGTTACACCTTTGCATCATGTGCTCTTCACTGCTAAATTTCTCATAGTGTACCCCTTAAAAAGGCAGCTAACTGGTAGATAAAGCCTGAGTAGGTAAGTGAGTAGCTGATTTCCCAAGGTGAATTCTAGGTTTTAGTTGCAACCATATGATTTCTTGTTTGAATGAAGTTTTAAGAAGCATTGTTTGGTGATGAAATTGTTCTGCTCTCTGCGTAATAAAGAACATACCTCAGTGTCCAGAGGTGGAAGAAAGGCAGCAAGATAATGGTGACCTTGATTTCCGTCTAACTAATGTATCACCTTACTCAGGATTGCAGATAACAAGTTAGTGGTAGGTCTCAGCTGGTTTTATTTTTGTCACCTTTGTGCACGCAGGTGTTAGCAGAGCAAGTCTGTGCACTGCAGCATGACTACAAGCCTGTGGTCTTGGAGCCCAGACTGTGAAACAGCCACCATCTTCTCTGTCTGCTAAAAAGAACCCCTTTGAGTGAAGCTTTATTTTTCAACTTCCTTTCCATGAAGTTGACAAACAAAATTCAGAAGCAGTGGAATGTGATGCTTTTGATATCTTGCTACAGCCCATATTTGGGGCACTTTGAGGACAGACCTGGACATACATTTAAATAGGAGGACTGAAAGAGTAGGAATCTGTGTCCTGAAGGAATCTTTTATCACTGTCTTTTTTTTAAAGGAGAGGTGAGAAAAATGTGAGACAGGGACTCTTTCATTCAGAGAGTGTCTTTAGGTCAGTTTGGGAACCTGTCACTGAGTGAGTGACTGTGGCTATATAGCTCTAACTTCACTTTCAGGGAGACAGTTCTAGTTTAGTTTCTAGATTTGGCAAGTAGGAATAATGAGGTAGTCATTAGAAACACTGTCCACCAAAAAAAGGTCATTGTAACATTTTACTTGACTTTAGTTGGGCCTTGAACTCCATTTTTGCTATATTTTGCTCTAAGAGTAAGGACTGCTACTTTGCCGACCATAAGCTATTTATTTTGCTTATAAGTTGAAGTCCAAATGAATAATTTCCTATCTGGAATAAAAGAGATCTGGTTTTCAAGTGCATGAATAGTAAAAGAAAATTCTTATCTAGAGAATTAATTATAAAATGTTATAAAATTCTACAGGTGAATTTCATCTTTAAGATGATATCAGAGAACTGGTTGTTCCAAAGCCATTATTTATAATATCACATTTCTCCTTGAATCAGTCCATTTTCTTCATAGTCCACCTTGTATTTA